ACAAGCTGAAGGGGGTGTATATAGTTCTCCTCACTTAATCTCCACAACAACCTTGTGAGGTAGTCTTAGGCTGAGGTGCAGTGCGACCGGCCAAGGAGCTTCATGGCCAAGTGGAAACTTCTGGTTGCTTCATCTCACAGAGGATATTGTAGAGTTGGAAAAGGTTCAGAAACAGCAACCAAACTGATCAAAGGGAGGGAGCAGCTCCCCTAGGCAGAAAGCGTGAGACGTTTTAGTTTAGGGAACAACAACAATTTATTTATTTATGCCCCGCCCATTTGGCTGGGTTTCCCCAGCCACTCTGGGTGGCTTCCAACAAAAGATTAAAAATCTTAAAGATTAAAAAAACCAAAAGCCTCAGCTTTTTGTAGCTGGAGTCAGTCAAGGCCCGCCCTCCCAAGCTGGGTGGAAAAAAATCTACAGGGCAGGGAGCAGGACATCTAGGACTTTTCTTCTATAAATTTCCTTCTGTTAAGAGCCAAGCCTGTTTAGGGAAGTTTTTAATATTTAATGCTGTATTGCTTTTAACACTTGATTAGCAGCCGCTCAGAGTGGCTGGGGAAACTCATCCAGATGGGCAGGGTATAAATAATAAATTATTATTATTATTATTATTATTATTATTATTATTATTATTAAACATTAAAACATCAGTCATTAAAAACTCTCCTAAACAGGGTTGCCTTCAGATGTATTCTAAACATCAGATAGCTGTTTATTTCTTTGACATCTGCTGGGAGGGTGTTCCACAGGGTGGGCGCCACCACCGAGAAGGCCCTCTGCCTGATGAGCAAGCAGCAACGTGACAGCTGTTTTAAAAATTATGTGTGGCATGGAAAAAGGCAGACAGAGAGAAGCTGTTCTCCCTCTCTCCTAAGACTAGAACTCATAGACATCCAGTGAAGCTGAATGTCTGGAAAGAGAAGAGGAAGAATTTCTTTGCTCAACATTCAGTCGGACTGTGGAAATCCCTCTGGCTGGAGGCGGTAACAGCCACCAACCTGGATGGCTTTAAAAGAGGATTGGACAAATTCATGGAGGTTGTCGATGGCCACTAAGCCATGATGTCTATGTTCTGCCTCCAAGATGGAGACAGCAATCCTTCTGGAAACCCCAGGAGGGAGGAGTTGATCTTGGCCTCAAATCCTTCTTGCTGGTTTCCGATAATGGGCATCTGGTGGACCATTGTGAGAACACGACGTTGGACTAGATGGGCCACTGGTCTGATCCTGCAGGGTCTCCTTAAGTGTTTATAATAATAATTTATTATTTATAGCCCGCCCATCTGGCTGGTCTTCCCCAGCCACTCTGGGCGGCTTCCAACAAAATATTAAAATACAGAAATGCATCAAACACTAAAAGCCTCCCTAAACAGGGCTGTCTTCAGATGTCTTCTAAAAGTCTGGTAGTTGTTGTTCTCCTTGACATCTAGTGGGAGGGCATTCCACAGGGCGGGTGCCACTACCGAGGAGGCCCTCTGCCTGGTTCCCTGTAGCTTTGCTTCTCACAACAAGGGAACCACCAGAAGGCCCTCAGCGCTGGACCTCAGTGTCCGGGCAGAACGATGGGGTGGAGACGCTCCTTCAGGTTTATGGAAGCTCTTCTCTGTATCCCCTAGCCTGGGTGTCACACTTTGTCTCAAGTGTAGAGGCCAAGCTTGGAGGATCATACCTGTTCAGCCTTGCACAGCGCTGGCCTAAAAACGGTTTACTTTGATTCTGGTCACCTGATGGGCAAAGATGAATTACTTGGTAATGACATCCCTTTCTTTTGATTAACTGCCACCCTCAAGCCGGCCAGCTGTTATTAAAAACAGTTTGGCTTGTGACAATACAAATTGGATTCTTCCTCGCTGTGGTAGAAACGGTCGGTGAATATGCGGGGTTTAATATTGTGCAATGTTATCGGCCGGCCACTGGCCGCCTCCGCTATAAGTAGGACAACGAATTGCTTTTCTGGCTAATCGAAAGTTCCTCTTTAAAAAGGTGGGTGGGATATGAGAAAGATATGAAACGCTCACAGGGTGCATTTGGGACATTACGCAAGAAGATAATAATAGCCTGGTGGATCGGGCCAAAGCCTGTCAAGTCCACCATCCTGTTCTCACTGTTGCCAGGCAGATGCCCTAAAGGAATCCCGCATGCAGGTGCTGGTTTTGACCTTTAAAGCCCTATATGGCCTAGGACCAACGTACCTACAGGACCGCCTCCTGGTATGTCCACGGAGGACCTTAAGGTCCACAAATGACGACGTTTTGGAGGTCCCAAGTTGCAAGGTGGTTAGATTGGTCTCAACTAGGGCCAGGGCCTTTTTAGCACTGGCCCCGACTTGGTGTAACGCTCTGTCCCAAGAGACTAGGGCCCTGCGGGACTTGACATCTTTCCGCAGGGCCTGCAAGACAGAGCTGTTCCGCCTGGCCTTTGGTTTGGACTTGGTCTGACCCTTATGTTTCCCTCCCCTTGTGGTCTTGATTTATCAGCTGCTTTAAAATGAGGCTGCATTTTAAATTGCATTTTACCCTCTATTTTAAATTGGTTTTCCCCCTCCTATTATGTTTTTATTGTAATTTACTGGTGTTAGCCGCTCTGAGCCTGGTTCTGGCCAGGGAAAGTGGGTATAAATAAATTATCAGTAGTAGTAGTATTAGTATTATTGTTATTAAACACAAGATCAACTCTCTTAAAACAAACAAATGTACTGAAACCTCAAACACTCAGTTTCATTGAATGGCCATAAGCTCAACAGTTACGAAAGAAGGGGCGGCGGGTTTTCTCTGCCCACTTTCCCCCAATGTAGAATTTTATAAACTCCTGTCAAGTTGCCTCTCGTTCGCGTTTTCTCTAAACTAAAAAGTCCCAAAAGGTTGCAATGTTTCCTCATATTGGGGTTGCTTCATACCTGTGATGCAACAGGACAGGGGATGCTCCCCTCTATATTCCAGAGCAGACTTGGCCATCTGGTGCCCTCCAGATATTCTGGATTGCAACTCCCCATCACCCTTTGCTTTGTATGCACATGTTTAGTAAAAGGTAAGGGATGTGGGTGGCGCTTGTGGGTTTAAACCACAGAGCCTAGGACTTGCCGATCAGAAGGTTGGCGGTTCGAATCCCCGCAACGGGGTGAGCTCCCACTGCTCGGTCCCTGCTCCTGCCAACCTAGCAGTTCGAAAGCACGTCAAAGTGCAAGTAGATAAATAGGTACCGCTCTTGTGGGAAGGTAAATGGCGTTTCTGTGCGCTGCTCCGGTTTGCCAGAAGCGGCTTAGTCATGCTGGCCACATGACCCGGAAGCTGTACGCCGGCTCTCTCGGCCAGGAAAGTGAGGTGAGCGCCGCAACCCCAGAGACAGTCAGACTGGACCTAATGGTCAGGGGTCCCTTTACCTTTACTAAAGGACCCCTGGACAGTTAAGTCCAGTCCAAGGAAACTATGGGGTTGCGGCGTCATCACGCTTAGGCCAAGGGAGCTCGTGTTTGTCCACAGACAGCTTTCTGGGTCATGTGGCCAGCAGTACTAAACCACTTCTGGAGCAACAGGACACCATGGCAGAAACCAGAGCGCACGGAAACGCTGTTTACCTTCCTGCTGCGCTGGTACCTATTTATCTGTGCTTTGAACTGCTAGGTTGGCAGAAGCTGAGACAGAGCAATGGGAGCTCACTCCATTGCGGGGATTCGAACCGCCGACCTTCCGATCAGCAAGCCCAAGAGTCTCAGTGGTTTAGACCACGTCCCTGCCCCAAAGTGGTAAGCACCAAGCTACCCCCTCTGCCTGCCCAGAGCCCCTCCTTTTAATGACGCTGTGTGTGCAATTGTGAACACATCCTCCCACATCTTATTGTAATACCTTTTCTTGGGTCTAAAAGGTGAATTACGGCAACACTGCCACTTTTTATCACCTCTCCCTAGTTTGGCTCCCCAGTGGGGAAGCACCTGCCCAAGAGGCAAGAGGTCACGATCTACGGTGATTCACCAAGTGGCAACGGAGTCTAGGAGCAGCACATTACTGAATCATCAAACAGCATCTGCAATTACCATGTGATTAGCCTGGCCTGTGAGCGCACCCTGAATCACATGAAATAGCTCCGCGTTCCTAATGAGAATTAGAAGTGGATGACAACACAGCAGGCTGGGCTGAGCCAAGCAGGCAAATGAGGATTTTCAAGAGAATGGAAGGAAATGAGGGCTTGGAGGGGGGGCGGGGGGGTCACAGAAGGATAGCCTGCTGGGCCAGGCCAAAACCGGCTCATCTCGTCCAGCATCCTACTCTCACAATGGCCAACTGGATGCCCCAAAGGCAGGACCCGAGTCTGTGGTTTCCAGCAACTGGGATTCAGCAACTGATGGGAGGGCGTTCCAGAGGGTGGGTGCCACTACTGAGAAGGCCCTCTGCCTGGTTCCCTGTAACCTCACTTCTCGCAATGAGGGAACCGTCAGAAGGTCCTCGGAGCTGGACCTCAGTGTCCAGGCAGAACGATGGGGGTGGAGACGCTCCTTCGGGTCTACTGGGCCGAGGCTGTTTAGGGCTTTCAAGGTCAGCACCAACACTTTGAAATTGTGCTCGGAAACGTACTGGGAGCCAGTATAGGTCTTTCAAGACCGGTGTTATGCGGTCTCGGCGGCCGCTCCCAGTCACCAGTCTAGCTGCCGCATTCTGGATTAGTTGTAGTTCTGGGTAACCTTTTCCAACTCTAAAATACCCTTCTTGAAGTTTGGAGACTGGAACTGTGCAGAGTATTCAAAACATGGCCATGCCATAGATTTGTAGAAGGGCATTACGATTGGGGGGATGGGGAGATACAGGAGCGACTCCAGTGATTCTGACACCCAAGCCTTCAGAATGTTTCTGCTTCACGGTAAGGGGCACTAGTGATTTTAAAAAAAGGAAAAAGAGGCCGGTACTCACCATGAAGTGTTACAGTAAGGGCCACACTTTTAACACTGGGGGGCAGGAGGTGCCAGTACTGCGTACCCTGAATGCCCCCCCCCAAAAGCACGGAGTAGCACAATCTGACTGCAAGCAACTTTACCTCTGCACACGGTATACTCGCGTCCACGGGGGCACGAGAGCCAGTATCCTCGCCACCAAATCCACGAGGGTGCTTGGAGGGTAGCTCTTGTACCTCCCCGTCTTCCAGAGCTCGTACAAGCCGGTGCCACGGATCACGAGGGTTGGGTAGAGCTTCATGCCATCGGGGCGAAAGGCAGGATTCTCAAAAAACTCCTGGGGGGTGGAAACAAGAGAGACACGAAATCAGAATGCAAAAGCGCACGATGGTGCTTGAGTTCAGCAGCTCTTTGTTTGCATGCAGGGATATAACTGAGGCTTGTTACGGAAAAATCTAGGTGCGAGGCTGCTTAGCCAGCCAGCTCATCGGGCAGAGCCCGTGGGTCCCTGCGGAATAAAGGAAGGAGTCCAGCCACCAACTGGAGCAAATAGCTGTAGACCAAAGTTTATTGTGCAACAGGTTCCAAGAGGAATTTTGAACCCCGAGGATGGGGTGACAAGGACTTTTCAAACTTTCCTATCTTATCCCAGCATACAGTTCATTACGCATCATCACTACATGATTGCTACATCAGAAAAGGGGAGGGTTATACATGATTAACATAGGAGGAATGTGTTGGGGCAACAGGTGGATACAGGATATGTATTGGGAAATACATTCTAAGCACCTGCTACAAAGGGACAATAGAACTTTGGTTTGCATAGTCTGCCACCTGGGCAAGTCCGGAGGAGTGCCTTTGCCCAGCGATTGACACCTATGAGCACCTTCCTGTGAGTACATGACCTCCCGCTTGAGGGATTATGGGGGGGACTGAGTGGTTTCCAAGTCCTTGGCCAATGAAGCAAATTGGCGGTGGAATAAAGAAAACTGGCAAAGGAGCTGATTTTATATGGTTTTTAAAGCTAGGTAACTTCCCTGGGACTTGCCGATCACAAGGTCGGCAGTTCGAATCCCCGTGACTGGGTGAGCTCCTGCTGCTCGGTCCCTGCTCCTGCCAACTTAGCAGTTCAAAAGCACACCAGTGCAAGTAGATAAATAGGATTCGCTCTGGCGGGAAGGTAAATGGCGTTTCCGTACGCTGCTCTGTTTCGCCAGAAGCGGCTTAGTCATGCTGGCCATATGACCCGGAAGCTGTACGTCGGCTCCCTCGGCCAATAAAGCGAGATGAGTGCCACAACCCCAGAGTCAGTCACGACTGGACCTAATGGTCAGGGGTCCCTTTATCTATACCTTTACCTTCCCTAAGCTGTCAAGTCAAAAGGATACATTCATGCATAGTATTTGTAACATTTAACAACTTTAAAGATGTGCCCCCCCCACCGTAATTTCCGTAACAGGCTGAAAGTGGCCCTCCGGAGAAAACAAAAGAACCTAAGAAGAGGCTGCTGCTGGATCAGGCCAGTGGCCCACCTAGTCCAGCATCCCTGTTCTCACAGTGGCTGACCGGATGCCCCAAAGGAAAAAACCCTCAAGCAGGATTCGAACCCAACTCTCTCCCTTCCTCTGGTTTCCAGCAACTGGTGTTCAGAAGGGTTGCTGCCTCTGACTGTGGAGGCAGAGCAGAGACGTCCTGGCTAGCAGCCACCGATAGCCCTCTGCAAATTTGCCTAATCCTCTTTTAGAGCCACCACTGCGTCCTGTGGGAGGGAGTTCCACAGCCTAAATAGGCGCTGCATGAAGAAGTACTTTCTGTTTTCCTTTTATCCACCTTCCCCAACCCTGAGTCCCTTGCAGATGTCTTGGGCTGCAGCTCACCTCAGCCCCAGCCAGCCCAGCATCGGGGTGGCAAAGACTGCTCTAGGTCAAGCCTTACAGGAGCACTTGGAGGAGGGTGGCAATTGCCTTTGTTTGCCGAGACGGCAGGGCCTCAAAGAACAGAGCGCGACTTTCCGCCGCAGAACAAAAACCAAAGCCATCAAGGGCCGCCTGCTGCTCAAAACGCCGCAGCTCTGGCGGAGTCTGAAGTGGGGCAGGGTGCACGCCTCGCTTTATTCTGGCGGGCAACCGCTGCTCTACGAATTGCAAAACAACAAAATGTCAATTAAAACCCAGCGGCGCACGTTGTCAGTGCGGCAGTCAGACACGCCAGCCACGACACGCATTTTATAGGAACAATAATTGATTTCGCCAGCAGAAGTCTGCCTCAGAAAAGGGAGAAGGGGAGACATGCCTTGCTGTTATTAACACTAATGGCGCTGACAGGTTCCCATTCATTCACGCCCTTGTAAACCTGCGGGCTGGCATAAATAATCGGGAGGTGATTGGTATAAATTAGTCATTTCGGTGCCAGGAAACTGCTGCTTTTTCATCAAGGTAGAAGGGGCAGTTACTCAGCTGTGTAACAGCTGCCTCTCCTCCTCCGCAAATCAGTGGCCTGGCAAACAGGTAGATTATCTTGCCTTAGCGGGAAAAACATCCTCGGAATTGGTTATCTCTGCCAGAGGTACTGGAGAAAGGAGAGGCGCCCTATACCTATACCTGAAGGAGCGTCTCCACCCCATCGTTCTGCCCGGACGCTGAGGTCCAGCGCCAAGGGCCTTCTGGCGGTTCCCTCATTGCGAGAAGCAAAGCTACAGGGAACCAGGCAGAGGGCCTTCTCGGTGGTGGCGCCCGCCCTGTGGAACGCCCTCCCATCAGATGTCAAAGAGATAAACAACTACCGGACATTCAGAAGACATCTTAAGGCAGCCCTGTTCAGGGACGTTTTTAATGTGTGGCATCTTAGTGTATTTTTGGTCTTTGTGGAAGCTGCCCAGAGTGGCTGGGGAAACCCAGCCAGATGGGCGGGGTACAAGTAATAAATTATTACAGTGGTGCCCCGCAAGACGAATGCCTCGCAAGACGAAAAACTCGCTAGACGAAAGGGTTTTCCGTTTTTTGAGTCGTTCCGCAAGACGAATTTCCATATGGGCTTGCTTCACAAGACGAAACGTCTTGCGAGTTCTTGCGAGTTTGTTTCCTTTTTCTTAAAGCCGCTAATCCGTTAATAGCCGCTAATCCGTTAATAGCCGCTAATCCGTTAATAGCCGCTAAGCCGCTAATAGCCGTGCTTCGCAAGATGAAAAAACCACAAGACGAAGAGACTCGCGGAACGGATTAATTTCGTCTTGCGAGGCATCACTGTATTATTATTATTATTATTATTAATACTATGGCAGACAAGTTGACAATGAATTCAGGAAAAAGTGACATCATCCAGAATAGTGTTTTATGGTACAGATCCTGCTGTCCACCCACATCACTGTGTGAGATGAGACAGGCTGGAGCAAGAGGCAGGATCTTTTTAGTGGTGGCGCCTACATTGTGAAAGAGATCTGCAAGGCTACATTTTGTTGTCATTTGGGTTGCTGAATGTTGCCAGAGGCGACAAGGGGCCCAGCAACAGACGCAACTCTTACCTGTGCCAAGCAGGCTGCATCTGATGCACAACGAAAGTCAGACATTTGCACCAACAGATGCACACACACCCTCTAGTTCAAGGGCATGCACTCAAAGAAGGTCATGGGCATGATCCCAGAGGCCAGAGAGACGGGAACCAGGGGCCGCCTTCTTGTTGCACAGGTTACCCACAACAGATGGGAGATCAATTTTGCGTTCCTAATCCAGGAGAAAAGTGATGGCCAACCTAGACAGCATCTTAAAAAGCAGAGACATCACTTTGCCAACAAAGGTCCGTATAGTTAAAGCCATGGTTTTCCCAGTCGTGATGTATGGAAGTGAGAGCTGGACCATGAAGAAGGCTGATTGCCAAAGAATGGATGCTTTTGAATTCTGGTGCTGGAGGAGACTCTTGAGAGTCCCATGGACTGCAAGAAGATCAAAACTCTCCATTCTGAAGGAAACCAGCCCTGAGTGCTCCCTGGAAGGACAGATCCTGAAGCTGAGGCTCCAATACTTTGGCCACCTCATTACCTTCTTCACAGCTGCCGCAGCAGAGTCTTATAAAATGATCTGTGCTACAATCAGCTGCCTTTGGCACGGGACTGCATGTTCTTAGCACAGTGCAAAAACAGGCTTGATCACATTCCACGAGTCCCTCCCACCCGGCATTCCCCTGCAGATGTAGGAAGTTGAACCTGCTGTCTGCATGATGGGGGCTGGCATGGACAACGTGAGGTGGATGTGAAGTAAGAAGATAAGGAGAGCCCTGCAGGGGCCAGATCAGGCCAAACAGAGCCTAGCATCCCCTTCCAGACAGTGGCCAGCCAGATGCCCTAATGGCTTAAAAAGAAAACGAGACCAATTCATGGAAGCTAGTCATCCCCTTGCCAACAAAGGTCCGTATAGTTAAAGCTATGGTTTTCCCAGCAGTGATGTGTGGAAGTGAGAGCTGGACCATCAAGACGGCTGATGGCCGAAGAATGGATGCTTTTGAATTCTGGTGCTGGAGAAGACTCTTGAGAGTCCCATGGACTGCAAGAAGATCCAACCTCTCCATTCTGAAGGAAATCAGCCCTGAGTGCTCACTGGAAGGACAGATCCTGAAGCTGAGGCTCCAAGACTTTGGCCACCTCATAAGAAGAGAAGACTCCCTGGAAAAGACCCTGATGCTGGGAAAGATGGAGGGCACAAGGAGAAGGGGACGACAGAGGACCAGATGGTGGGACAGTGTTCTCGAAGCTACCAGCATGAGTTTGACCAAACTGCGGGAGGCAGTGGAAGACAGGAGTGCCTGGCGTACTCTGGTCCATGGCGTCACGAAGAGGCGGACACGACTAAATGACTAAACAACAACAACAACAAGCCTCCTTGAGCATTGTTTTAACTGTGGAAAGGCGGCATAGAAATAAAATTATGATGATGATGATGTTCAGAATACAGCCCCCGCCTCAGCGGATCCCCATGCCCAGCCTGAGGTGGCTGCCCCCCCCCCTCAAGTTTAAGGGATAGAGCTCAAAGGCCCTGCCGTAGCAGTTACACCAGAGGCCTCCAGGGGTACGAAGGTGAGGGGGAGACCCGGAGACCTCCAGGAGAGAAGGACCGAAGAGGCCCTCAAGGAGGGGAGACTACCCCTTCGCCGCCCACCCTGGGAGCCCGAGGGGGAGGGAACCCGAGGAAGGGAGGTGGTCCTTGCCCAGCACAGACCCCCTCCACCGAGAGCTTTGCCTCACCCATGTCTGTGGGCTGCAATATGACGGGAGGTGCCAGTACCAGGAGGCAGAAGACAGGGCTGAAAAGGAAGCCGATGGTGGCCAAAGCAGGACAGAAAGTCTCA